CGAGATTTTAAAGTATTGGTGAGTAGAGGGATGTTAAGCTAGTGAGGATAAACTATAGAAAGATTTTGTGAGGCTATGAGAGAGTTAAAATAGGGTGGGTGAACTTTCTGGTGCACAGGGGCAAAATATGTTTCAAGGAAAGTAATCCAAACTATACTTTTAAATATGTTGGTTTATCACTTGAGAAAAATATTAACTCTTGAAAACTCTCAACATTTCTTGCGGTGGTCAATATAACACAGCAAGTTATAGAAACAAAACAAAATATTTTCCTTTCATTCTTCACTATCATTAGTTTTGTTTATTAGAATAAAGAAAGATTAATAATGGTTCCAAGACAATCAATTAAAGAATCAAATATCAGGAATAGTCACCCATGTAAAGATTAAGAAAATATATATTTTTAATGTTAAAAGTTGGAAAAATGCATAACTAAAGTATATTCATATGGGTAGGATATTTAATTTCCTATCCTAAAACTATATCCCCAAATAATCCTAAAATTCCATTCTCAGAGCTTCATTTTTTTAGTTTACTTAATTCATGAAAATACATCCATTAAAAAAAATAATAACCTTTTAAGTTTATAGTCGTTTATACTTACTGAAACTAAATTTATTTTGGAGAATTTCACTTTGTTTTCGCACAGCAGTTTTGGCTAGAAAGGAGAGAAAACAAAAACATGTACTAAGAGGCCAGAAGCCCCTGAAGAAATTGTTACTATTTTAATATTACTACTCTGGATAGATTCTTTATAGTAATAGAACTTTGTTACGCTTGAAGTAAAACTTCTGAAATAATTCCTTTGTTCATGTACAAACATTGTGCTTGAACTAAAACTTAAGAAATAATTCCTTTGTTCATATACAAACATTATGCTATCTAAATAAGTGATAACTTTTGTTTGTCTTTAGCTAATTAATCTAAATGTAAATTCAAAGAGCCCCTTTTCTTCCACTGTTATCTTAAATTTTAGTATTCTTAAGGGACTAGTCAGTCCTAAGTTCATTTTGTACTTTACATATACTCCCCAGTTTCTCTGTATCTTTAGTTTCAGATCCATCTGTATGCCAGTGACTCTCTAGCCTAGCCCAGTTTCCAAATGCGATTTAATTGTTTTTCGCACCCCCTTCTCTATATGTATCAGAGTTCTCTAACCCAACATTTCTACTAACACCTGTTTCAAATAAGACCTTCTCTTTCCATAACCCTTATTCGCTTAACAATACATAGCAATTCTATCTAGTCACCTACCCCCAAAACCTGGGAGTTATCTTTGCTTTCCCTCTACCTCAGTTCATATAGCAAATAGTTCCCCCACTCTTGTAAATTCTACTTCCTAAAAAATTCTTACATTTTTTTTTTCTTTCCATTTTGACTGCCATTGCTTTGATTCAGGATTCATTGTCACTAATGCAAGCTATTTCAATAATCTCAGTGAAGGTAAAGGCCAACCTGCTGTAACGAGACTCAACCTGCTGTAAAGAGACTCAAAAATACAGTGGCCTAAGTAAGATAAGTGTTTCTCATAATTAATAGTTGGGAGGTGAGCAGTCAAAAATAGCAGAGTACCTCTCCATGAATTCCTTCAGAGATCTACCTTCCTTCAGTCTTTTCGCTGTAATCTCTTAGAGCGGGGGTTATTAATCACTTTTGTGGCATGGACACTTTTGTCACTCTAGTAAAGCCTATGAACCCCTTATAATAGTTTTTAAATATATCAAATAAAATACGTAGGATTATAAAGGAAATAATATTTGAAATATGGTTATTAAAATATTAAAAACATAAATTTGTGATATAGTAATATACACTTCTTTTTAATACATTTACAAGTCCATGTTCTAATTATTACTATAATTTCATAGTACTGATGACAACTGTTTGAAATAATATACGTAACAGTTATAATGTAGTAGGGAGATATTTGATTTCTATTTGTGGGAAAAATCACATCATTAAAGCTACTGTGATTTGTGTCTACATTCTTAATTGAAGACAATTCCCTCTTTAAATCTATATATTCCTTGGGGACCTGGGGACCCCAGGGAAAGAACCCCTTCTTAGAGCATTGTAATCATCTGCATAGTCAAAGCTGAGTCTCAGGCTAATCTGTGTTCCCACCTGCAGGAAAAAGGGAAAGATAAATCTGGGCAGCGAAGAGGGATTTTAACCAGCTAAGGTGGAAGTTGCACATGTCACACATACACATTGGTGAGACTTTAGACTTGGTCATATTTAGTTATAAGGTGAGAAATAATTGAACAGCCATGTGTACATGATAAAACAGATTATCAAAGACAATCAGGAGTCTGCTACAGTCTCCTGTGACCCCTGTGTATCCAACCAGCCTTGCTCTAATCCATTCTTAACACTGCTTCCAAAGTATTTTTTTAAATCCAGTCTGATCATGTCAGTTTCCATCTATTTCTCTAAATGTAGCAGTAGATCCTGACTTGTGGGTCATCTGGATTGGGAGAAGTTGGGGGGAAGTTTTTGCAAGTAATCCACAAGTGAATATGCCTAGTAAAATTGAAAATTGGATTTTAAAAATGAAGTTTTATATACATTTATATGAAGCCTTTTTATTCATATATGTATAAGCTTTGGGGAGTAACAAAATACAGTTGAAGTGTTCTTGAACTTAGTACGTGGACTAATTATTTCAATAAATGCTAAAAATAGTTACTTTAGGAGCTATATTTTTTACATTTAAAAGGAGTCCTATTCTTGAAAAGGTAAACTGCTTGCCTACAGGATAAAGATTTCTTATGATGACATAAAATATCTTTTACAATCTAGCTCCAGACTTCAGCTATACATCATATCTGTCCTTCTAGGCATTGTAGACTTACCAGCAACTTCTGATACCTTAAATACAGCATGCTCTTTGGTGCTTCTGTGCCATTGCACTTCATTTTTTTTTCTTTTTTTTTTCTTTTTTTTTTTTTGGTAGAGTTCAGTAACTTGCCTAAGGGCCTACTGTGCTATTGTTAGGCGAACCTGGGACTACAACCCAAGTCTGAGCCTCAAAGCCTGCCATCCCTTTAATAACTAGGTACTCTCATTTCCTTCCAGTAATTGTAAAGAATGTGATAACAATCCTTTGCTCCTGACCTCAACTGTTTCTTTTTACTCTGGCATTTTACCTGTTTTTTTTTTTTTTAATAGAAAAATCATTCTCACATCCTGAAGTTTTACAGACAGAAAGGATGGATAAATGGTCCTAAGAGAGTTTCAGGATATTCTGGAATAAATCTAGATGGTGGCGGGACCAAAAGGATGATGGCCCAAGAAGCCAGTGAAGAGGGAGGGTTGAAGCCATGAACCACTCACCGGGTCGGGCTAGGGCCCTGGGTTCTGTTGAGAGTCAGTACCCAATCCCTGCTCTGCTCTTGCACGCACTGCCTGCCGGGAGGCCCCTCCGCCCAGCCCGCGGTGTCCCTGACGACGGGTTGACTGGGAGCCTCTGCTTCTGTCTGCTTGTGAAATGGAAGAGAGGTGTGATTCCTTAACGTAGAAAAACCAGAGTCAAGACAATACTGTACATTCCGTTTTCCGCAGTATTGCCCTTGAAGATGGATTTCATAGCCCTTATAGCAACAGCAGCAGGTGCTATAGCCACACTTGCTGCTGCTGCTTTTGCAGCATTGATATTAGTAAAAAGCATAAATTCTTTTAAGAAGTTGACAGAGAGGGACAATAAGAGTACTAAAAGATCTGGTGGAAAAGCCCATTTCAAGATGGCAGCAAGCAGAGAAGAAACACATGAAGAATTGGGCGAGAAGGAGCAGAAAACATACGAAAAATGGGGTGAGAAGGAACAGAAAACACCAGAAAAATTGGTTGAGAAGGAACAGGAACCATCAGAAGAATTGGGCGCGAAGAAGCAGGAAACACCAGAAAAATTGGGTGAGAAGGAACAGGAAACATCAGAAGAATTGGGCGCGAAGAAGCAGGAAACACCAGAAAAATTGGGTGAGAAGGAACAGGAAGCATCCGAAGAATTGGGTGAGAAGGATCATGAAACATATGAAGAATTGGGCGAGAAGGAACACGAAACCCATGAGAAATTGGACGAGAAGGAACAGGAAACCCATGGAGAACCGAAGCAGGAGGAACAGGACAGCCAGGCTTCGTAAGTGTAAACTCTAACTTGGTGAAGCCTCAGACAGACATCAGATGCTGGTCAAATGAAAAGGGCAGGCAGCTGAGCCTGCTGGGCCTCCCTGGCAGGGCTGGAGGCGACGCCCAGGCCCGCCAGGTGTCATAGTGACACGCACGCATCAGGCCACTTGAGGTCGAGTTAGTGGGGGCGGCTGCATCTTTGGAATGGTGTGAAGGAAGTGGCACGAGGGGAGAGTTGTCAGTGTGCTTTCGTTTCTTGACAGTTTGGTTTTTGGTACATAAAGCCCTGATAAGGAGGGAAAAAAAATTGGTACAATTTGTTGGGTCGGCTTTCTCCCAAGACGAAGGGGACTCGCTTCCGCCGGCGTCTGCGGCGCCCCTGGTGGCGAGGCCAGGCCGGGCGGCCGCGCAGCACAATGGGCG